TGCACAATAATACAAAAAAGTAATCAGGATGCAAGATACACTTTACGTGTGACTGACTATGTAGTTGACCAGTTTACTCAAAATGTTCCAAGTGTAAAACAGATATACAAAAAAAGTGATAATGGTGTCAAGAATATAATTATTATAACTATTGCTAAAAAATAAAAGTCTTGCAACTTAATTGCATATTAGGTTTAGGCGGTATTAATTTAGGCTCTTGTAATGTATAATGATATAGTTTGCTTTTTATCCACAACTAAATCTTATAAATCAATATCTGTTTTTATTTTAGGGTGCTGTTCAACTAACTCAGTTGCCGAAACGTTGTTTTATATTTGCAAGGTGAAAGGCGTTCGCCTTTTATGATATGATTACAATGAGCCGCAAAAAGGTTAAGACCAATGTGATTGCGAAAGTGCTGTTGCTAAGAGATACATTAATGCATATATCAACCCTGGTAATAATTGCACATCAGTACAGGATATTAAGTAAAGAAATTTGTTTTTGGAAGCTCAAAAGATTTAAAAGTATCAGTGGTTGAAATTGACGAGTTAAAATCAGTTAATTATAGCAAGATAACGAGTTTTGAAAATCAAACAAATCATTCTTTAGTGCGGCCGTGGTGTAGTGGTTAGAGCGCTTGCGTTATAAGCAAGAGATCCAGGTTCGAAACGAGCTCTTAAAAGCACTTCCGCGGTGCTCTGTGACAAGACTGTTAGGTCTTCTTGGAGTACCAAAATAACAAAATAAAAAAAAATAAAAAATTCTGTTGGCCAAATAACAGCAATGCTAGATGATGATGATATACAATACTAGAAAAGAATGATGAAAGAACAATACTAGATGATGATGATGATGATGAGCGTATTAACCTCATGGTTATATCGGATAAAACTTTTTATTGGCCATACCCCAAACAAGAATTTATTGAAGACAGGTGTAACTACCACAAGATATTAAACATTCCTGAGCAAGAAATTAAGCAGCATCTTGATTTTAAGCATAGACGACATGGAAGTGAAGAACTGTTGTGGTGTAAATGCTGTAGAGAACAAACTAATATTTTTTACTATTAGATTCATATTTAGATTTCAATGTGTTTTTATAGTTGTTTTTTTACTGTCAAAAGTCTTTTTGAAAAACTACCCATTGAAGTTATTTAATTTATTAAAAGTATATAGAGGTATATATCGTTTCAAAAAACTATAACTCAATAGCTTGCTAGCACGTTGATCTTAAGTTGATCTTAAGTTAGCATAAATTTTATCGTTTTTAAAGCAGATGATAGGTTTTGAGAGTTAATTTTTAGACTAAGGTTATGTTTTAAATTAGTTCGGGTATAATTGCAGTAAAAAAAAACAGTTTATCTTTCTTAAAAATGTCAACAATTTATGAAACTTTAAATCGTGTAACTTTTGAACCGCTATGAATTATGTTCTCAAATTTTCAGGTTTTTCTTATGAAATGATTTAAAGATATCCCTGAAATTTTTAAGAAAATCCAATAACTCAACTATTTCAAGTTGCTGGTTTTGCCTCATTTTTATAAAAAATTACTCTTAATAGACAAAATAAACCTGAAGGTTTATTCTATACAATTAAAAAGGTGAAAATCTTAAAAATTTCATTTTTTTAATCATAATTGAATCTTAATTTGTCATCAAATTTGAAAAAAAAATTGAGTTTACTTCAATTTATCTTAATGGTTGGTATAGAATTTTACTCTTAGCAACGCCCTTAGCAACCATGTTATGGAATGTAGCACCTCTATTGCAAGTTGTTTCTAGTGCAATTTCATCTCAATTTGTTTTCAAGTATTCTTTATGCACTTAGCATAACTAAAAAAAAATTTTTTTTTCAGGAATTAAGTCAAGACTTTCGCTAGAATAATGCCTCCAAGACCAAATGCAAAATATAAATGAGTGTTTAAATGGAACTATTTGGACACACTGTCCCAAATCTACTAATTGTGAAAGAAAATTACATAAGATCGGTGTGTGTTCAGTCATCATAAGTTTCAATGATAGTATTAATTTTATTGGAAATGTTTTTGGTTGTTTGAGTATTCCACATGAAAGTTTTTTTGAAAAAAATGGACCAAAAAGAGTTATCATTCATTGTAAATAGTCATCTCAGGCCCGTAGCAACCAGGGGGCAGCAGAGGTAATTGCCCCCACCCCCTCAATAATATAATTTTTGTTCCTGCGGGCCTGCATCAAATATTTTAAAAACACAAAGAAAAGTAAAGATGTTTAAGAAAAGAGTTTATATTAAAAAAAAGACATTAAAGGGTGCGAACCCTTTCTTTCTGGATCCCATTGAGTTAGTTCTGTTTTGTTTTATTTTAATAAATATTATCTGATTTTTAAAACTGTTTTTTCACACAACGTGTTTTTTGTCGTTTTGGTTATACCGTTTACATAATATCTTCATTAATACTGTATGAAACATCTTGAAATTTACCACAAATGATCGTTACTAATATAGCTACAAAATGATCCTCGTTGAAGAGTCTCACTTATTCAGATTTGTGCAAATCTGAATAAGTGATTTGCAATAAAACAACTATGCAAATTTCAAAGTTTAACAGTCACCCTATGATAAATAATCGTGTAAACGGTTTAGCCTCTTTTTAGGACTAAAACCAACTTTTTTATTAGGATGGAGAAGAAAAAAAAAGTTTATGTTATTTTGTCTTCATTTGAACTATATTTCTAGTTTATGTAAACTATATTTGTAATTAATGTGTTTTAAGAAAAAAACTATCTAATTGTATAGAAGCAATAGACAAAAAACCTTGTCTTTTTAAAATATCATAACACGTGTGCCATAAAATTTGAGACTGGCTTTAAACTTGAATAAAAACTATATTTTTTAAAAAAAAAAAATTTTTTTTTTGGTATTTCTTAGAATTAAATATGCAGAATATGAAAATAAAAATAAATTTATCACAAAACTTTATATCTTCGAATTTGATCAAGTCTGGTATTGGTACCTTGTACCAACTTTTGTACAGCATTTAGGTCAAGTCTACTTGCACAATAACGAATCCGACGCTCAAGGTTTGATATATTTTTTGTAGACCGTCCATTCTTGTACACATCCTGCTTAAGCATTGCCCAAAAATCCTCTATAGCACGAGCTTCTGGTAAGTTTGCTGGATTGTCTTTTTTTTTGAACAAATGATATCTCTGGGTTTTTAACCATTTTGTTACCGAATTAGCACAGTGAGATGTTGCTAAATCGGGCCAAAAGATATACTTGGTGTCTCGATAATATTTATTAATAAAAGGTTGCAAGCGCTTTTCTAAACACTCTTTTAAATAGATCTCTTGGTTTACCGCTTGGCCAGACAATGTAAATAGATGTGACCCCTCGAGGGGAGATATCCATACAAGTAATTTTTTGCCATCCATACAAGTAATTTTTTTTCAAATTTTGCAACATCATAATACTTAACGATGTCTGGTGTCAATTTTTGATCATTTTAATAGTATGTATTATTACCAGCCAGTGTGCTATTCGACAAAGTAAAGTATGACTCATTGTCAATAATAAATTCATGGTTGCAATATTTTAAATAAAGTCGACCACATTTTTAGCGACCCCAAAGCCTCTGTTCAGGAGTTTTGGTCTTTTTTATCTTTTATAACAAAGAATAAGTTTTTTAAAGAATTTTAAGATTCGTCCGATGGTGTTTTTGCTACAACCCAGTCTTCTAGAAGTCTTGGAAAGTGACACACCTCTTCGATTGTTAAACATTTTCCTTAATTTGATGTGGTTGTTTTGTATATTAAGAGTAGGCCTTCTTCCACTTCCAGTATTGCGATCTAATGGTTTATTTTGATCGTAACTGTTCATATATCTATAAATTGTAGCTTTTGAGTAGCCCTCCATCTTGAAATGGTTCCAAACAACATGTTTTCCATCTTCATGTTTTTTTTTTATAAAAGTTATATATACGACCTTTTAGGACTTGTTGATTTTTCATTTTAAATTGTTATCTAAACAAAAAATAATCAGAGAATTTATATGCTAATTGAAAGAGGAAAGAAATAACTTTCATTTGATACCAAACACTAATTATTTTATCAAGCCTACTAATTAAATACCGCTAATTCAAGTTAGTCTCAAATTTTATAGAACAGGTGTTAGTTTACAATAATGTTGCAAAATAATAAAAAGGTTATATGCTTGTGGAAAGAAATTAATATCAATTTCTGCTAATATTTCATATTTTTTACTTCAACAATTTTTGATACAAGAACCATCAACTTTTTTTAAATTCAATTTTTTGCTCTCATTTTTCTTTTTATAGAACTTTGTTTATTGGTTGTTTTAAAGTTCATTTTCTATTGGTTGTTTTAAAGTTCATTTTCTATTGAAGGATTACATTATTTTAAAGACTTAAAGTTATATTAAGTTATATTCGCATTAAAGTTAAATAAAATAAGTTAAAAACCAATATTTTCATATTTTGGTGTAAAGTCAGTATTTTCATTGTTAATTAGAATAATTACCTTTAGAAATCGCTGTTTTTGAAATTACCTTTAAAAATAAACACTTTTTTAAACCTTTTTTTAACCTTTGAAAAATTTTTTAAAGTTATAAATTTAACCTTATTAATATTCAAAAAGTAAAAAAAAAAAAAAAAAATAGTTTAGATTCAGAATAGCAAAAATAGTTTAGATTCAGAAAAAAAATTTTCAATGTATTTTAAAAAAACTTATATTATAATAAAATAAAATATAAGATTATATTATAAAACTAAACATAAAATTTTTGATTTTAATTTTTTGTTAATGGCTAATAAATTTTGTTAATGTTCTATAAACAATAAAATAGTATGGAACTGAGGTTCCCAAATTTATTGTTCAGATTGAGAATAGAGATGAAATGGTTTTTTCTGAAGAATGATGTTCCCCCCCCCCTTTGGGCCTCTTTGCGCCAGTCTGACCCTGATTACAAGAGTTCTTTATATCACTAATTTGAAAAGCCTTGCAAAGCGCGGATACGTAAACAAAGATTTTGATCTTTCGGCGGTTTTTTAAAATCCTGATACCAAATAGTACTGACACAATATACAATCAATGACCTTCTAGCAAATAAAATAACAAAAAAACTCAAACTAATGTTTAGGCAAAATTTGCAGGCAGGCGTGAGTCAATTTTTACTTTCAGGATTTTTAAATATTTTAAATTTGAATTTACTTAAAATTTATAGGCTACTAATTTAATCCTATTCATAACGTGATAATAAATATATTTTAACCTGCATAACTAATTTATAGCACTCCCCAAACGACCACTATGCCCTAATTGTTATTGTTTTAGTATTATAATTATCTCTATAATTAACATTATTATTTTTATTATTGTTACTGTTGTAAATTACTGTTATTATCATTGCTATTATTATTATTATCATCATTATTATTATTATTATTATTATTATTATTTGGTTGTCACGTTTTTGTCAGTTACATAACTGTTTGTGACTGATCCCAGTTTTGTACTAATTTTATTTTATAAAGTAAAATAAATGATTGGTTGATTAATTTGTATATCATAAATGATCATTTTCCCCTGCGTTAGTCTGATTGCATATTAGGCTAATGCAAGAAATCAGCCTAAAAACCACTATTTTAAAGTTAACAATATTTGAAGTGTTACTAGTGCGATGAAATTTAAAGTTTTTTAATCTGAAAGTTATAGAGTTTAGTATTAGACAACAATATAAAAGCGAAGCTAATGGTCTTCATTTTCAGCCAGTGAAAACCTTTATGTTGTAATTAATGATTTTGGCAATTTACAATCACCAAATTTGTGCTAAAGCCAGATTCAGAGCCAAACAAATAAGCAGGGTTTTTAGTCTTTAAATCCATATTTTTTCACTCATGAGACTGGTGTCATGTAAAGTTAGTAGGACTGCTTTTTTAATTAAAATCTAAAAGAATTTTTTTTATTATAATCTTTTAGATTTTTTTTTTTTTTTTTACACCTGTGTAGTGTAGTAAATTAAATAGTCTATAATTAATTCTAAGCCAACATAAAAAGCTTTATTCATATAATATGTAAACAAACTTTATTCATATAATAATATGTAAACTAAAATATACAAACTAATTAGTTTTGGTATACACATAATCAAACTCAACAAGGATAATAATAATTATAAGAATCAGCACGTTCTATCATACTAAATAAACAAAATAAGTAAATAAGATCAAATTGTTCAAATATAGTCATTTAAGTATTTAGGAGGATTCCGGGATCTTCCTGAACAACAAGGGACTGATTCTTTAAAAGAAATTCCATTAGGATTTGTTGGAGAGAGTAGAAAAGTTTTGAGATCTTTTCTGATGAAGAAGCTCAGGTGAAGGGATTGTATCAAATTCATTGGAGTTATTTTTGGAGTTATTTATTCCATCATTATCACTGAGTATATCAGCCGTTGGTGCGAGATGTCTTGTAGCAACAGTTATCTCATGCCAATCAGGCATTCTTACATGAGAATATTTACTATTAGCCTCTAATAGCTCAATCTCTTCTACCAGAGGTTTGTGTAGAACATGCCTTTTAAGCAATACATGACCCGAATTAGTTATTAGAACCATGTAGGAACAGAGTGTCCGTTAGAAGAACGTTGACTGAATCCAAATAATCATTTATGAGGTGTAGCATTAGTTGAAGTGCAAAGTAAGGAACGCATCGAATGAAGGACATTGGGTAAAACATGTTCCCAGTTCATGGTAGGTAAATTCTTTGATTTGAGAGCAAGCGAAATTTCTTTCCAAATTATGCCATTGTATCTTTCACACTGACCATTGTCCTAAGGATTATAAGGATTAGTTCTACTCAGGTTGACACCTCTAGAAATGAGAAAATTTGGAGCTCTTTAGACATGAAGCAAGTGCCTCGATCTGAATGTATATTAGTTCATACCAAGTTGGCATACCAAATAAAGTGAAAAGTTGAAATGCTAACCAACAAGGTAGTGTTTCCATTTTCGAAGTGATTCGACAATAGCATAAGCTTCCTTCTTAACAGAAGAATGTTTTTTTTTCAGTAGGTGAAAGTTTGCGAGAAAAGAATTCAACTGGTCTTCAGCCTGATTAAAGGAAGCAGCTATAGCAAAATCAGAGGCATCTGTTTCCACCTCAAATAGTATACTTTCATCAATAGCTTGTAGAGCTGATTGAAAGATTAATTCTTTCATTTCATTGAAGCATTTAATAGCTTCAGTTGATAATGGAAAGGTAGAAGTTAGAGATGAAGGATGAATTTTGTCAGAAAAATGTTTGATATATTGGGAGTAGTATGAGAACATACCAAGGGCTCGACGGAGAGAAGCACTATCGGTGGGAGCAGGCAATTAATGGCTTTAAGCAATCTGGATCAGGGGGAAAAGAGCCACTTTTTATAATAAAACCTAATAGAAGGTTATACACGAAGTATACAATAAAAAAAAATTTTCTTCATTGAAGGTAAACATTGCTTTCTTAGAAGCTTCAAGAAATTTTTCCAAATTGAAATCATGTTTATTTTTAGATGTACCACATACAAGCAAGTTATCTAGATATACAAAGGTAAATCAAATGTGCTAAATAATACATATTTTGCAACAGAGTTAACTAATTCATTGATGTTAGGTAAAGGATAAGCATCAGGTAGTGTAAAGTGATTTATTGTTTGTGAGTAATCAATGACCATGCGTTTCTCATTACTGGTAACTACTATTTGTGATCGCCAAGGAGAGTTACTGGGTTCAATTATATCTAGTTCCAAAAATTTTTTTAGTTTCTTGCTCAATGAATGCTTTGTCCTCTGAGTTATGTCTAGAAGGTGAAGCAATCAATCTACATTCTGGAGATAGAAAAGGGAAAAGAGTGCTAGCTTTCATTGTAATACTATTTAGAGAACAGATTTTTAAAGAATCTTTTTTATCACCATAATTGATATAAAGACTTTAGTGTAACTGTAGGAAATCTCTACCAAATATGATTTGTTCACAAGAGTTGGGTATAACCAAAAAATTAATATTAGAATACTTCATACCAAATAAAGTGAAGTTAGTTGAAACTTTACCTATAACATGACAAGATAAGGAAGGATCAGTCATAGAGACTCTTTTATTAGAAGGGAGTATATTAAGTTTTAAAGAGTCACATAATGATTTGCTTTTAAATGTGTCAGAGCTTCCAGTGTCAAGAAGAAACCTTACCTTAGCCCTAGCAATAAAGATAGAAACAATAGAGTTGAGTGAGTTGATAGAAGAGCAAGTAATTGAGGCTAAACTTGGTGCATGAAAGTTAGCAGCAGCAGGAGTGACAAAGTTCTTTGATGATTTGCATACTTTCTTGAAATGCCCTTTCTTAGTACAATTGTTACATTCTGCATCTCTGGCAGGACATGATTGTCGAGGGTGACGTTTACTTCCACAGAAATAACAAAGTCCACTAGGCTTAGTAGAAACTGAAGTAAACTCAGTAATACATTGAGTTTACATTGAGTAGAGTTTTCTAGTAGTCATTGGCGAATATGATGAGAGCTTAAACCATTTATAAATGAATCATGAATGTATTCTTCATAATGTTCTGAAGTAGAAACTTGTTTAATGTTGCAATCTTTACTGAGTGTATGTAAGGCCTGCAAAAACTCATCAATAGATTCTCTGGATGATTGTTTACGTGAAGCTAACTGGTGTCTGGAAAATAATTCATTTTTAAGTTTTACAAATAAGTTTTCCAGGATTTCTAAAGCGCCATCAAATGATTCAATGTCAGCAATATAGTCGAACAGGGAAAGAGATAAATAGTTAATGAGGACATCTAATTTATCTTCTGTTTGTATAGTTTTCATGAAGTTTGTAAAAGTTCTAAACCAGTGTGACCATTCTTTAGAAGCTGATGCAGAATTGGGATTGCTGTTAAATCATTCCGGTCTTAGATATTTATCCATTAAAATATGAAGAATAAATTTTAGTGTAATAAATTAAATAGTCTATAATTGTTTCTAAGCCAATATAAAAGGCTTTATTCTTCTTATAATAATATGTAAACTAAAATATACAAACAGGTTAGTTTTAGTATACACATAATTAAACTCAACAAAGATAATAATAATTATAAGAATCAGCACAATCTGTTTATACAATGATATTAATTTTTTTGGAGTTTACATTGTAACTATTTTACACCATAACAATGTTTCATAATCTTGACAATTTTTTAGCTTTTTATTGGTATAGGGCATTTTTATAATATTTTTTGAATTTTAAATGACAAATTAAAATTTTCTTGACTATTTCAATTTAATTTGTGGAATTTTAGTTATTTTTATTCTTAAATATCTTTTAGGCTTCCCCTGCTCCTAATCCAAACATAGCAGCAACATGGCAACGAGGAATGAGAACAGGTCAAAGTCCTAATATGCAGATGAGATCTACAAATGTTGTTAATACAGCACCACATACTCCTGATAGTAATAAGCGTCCAGTAGAACTTAAAAATGCTTCAAAACCTAGTAAAAGGTATTTTGATTATGATTTTTTATTTACAGTTTTTTTTGAGTTTGCAGTTTTTGTTATATGATTTTCACTCATTCAATTCAATTTTTATCCAAAATCGAAAAGTTTAATTGATAGAAATGACAATTAATAAAGTTGTTAATAGTTGTAAATGTAGTAATAACTATATTGGCATGATATTTCATGATTTTTTTGTAAGTAAAAATTTTTATCGCTGTTGAAAATTATATACAGCTAAAAAGCCCAAGTTAGGAAATCTGTTTGAAAGCACAGAATAGAATAACTTCTTAAAATGAGTTTAATGACTGATTCTTTTTATTTATTTTTAAATAAAATTTTTAGTGTGAAGAAAAGAAAGATAAAAGATCAGATAATTACACAAGAAGTAAGAAAATTAATTCTATTTATTATTATTTATTATTAATTCTATTATTCTATTTTAAAATTTTTTTTTGTTTTAGTATAAAAAGATAAGTATAATTTTCATTTTTTTGTAAGCAACAAGTTCTCTTCCAACATGGTCAAAGATATCCTTCAACTTTTGTATAACATGCTATATCTAATTATCATTAGTTATATAACGACTTTAGAGTATGACATTTAGTTTAATATATATATATATATATATATATATATATATATATATATATATATATATATATATATATATATATATATATATATATATATATATATATATATATATATATATATATACATATATATATGTATATATATATATATATATATATATATATATATATATATATATATATATATATATATATATATATATATATATATATATATATATATATATATATATATATATATATATATATATATATATATATATATATATATATATATATATATATATAATGTTTTACAGTTTATGTAATTAGTCTTATGAAAAAAGAGAGCTAAAATTATTTACTTGAAGTTTTACATGGCACTAAAACAACTATTTTATTCAAAAAAGTTTAAAAAATAAAATAAACTATTAAAAAAAATTATTCTCCAAACACTATATTCTACCAATAAACATTTAATTTATGAGAAAACATGACAACTCCTATTTAAAAAAATAACATTTAAATCAAAATGCTAAATTTTATTAGGACCTAACTCTTGAAAATCTTTTTCAAGCATCTTAAGATAAATGAGTTAATAAAGGAAGATGTATTTGAGTATTTGATTTGTCAAACTTGTTTATCTACTAATTGGGTATCAGCAAATCAGGTATTGGTCTAATACTAACACAAAAGCACAATGATAATCCACTATGCAAAAGCACAATGATAATCCACTATATATATATATATATATATATATATATATATATATATATATATATATATATATATATATATATATATATATATATATATATATATATATATATATATATATATATATATATATATTATATATATATATATATATATATATATATATATATATATATATATATATATATATATATATATATATATATATATATATATATATATATATATATAAACGAGTCCTTAGCATTATTATATGGTTCCTAATAAGCTATTGAAAATAGCTTATTAGGAACCATCTATTTTCTATTTAATAATTTCAAGGGGCCTATTAAACAGAATTTTGGTGAAAATGTTACAAATTATACATCTATAAACTCTATAAACAGTATTGTATTTTTAGATGGTAAAGTCTTAATATTAAAGAAACTGAGATCAATTTTAACTATTTACATGAAAATAATTAAGGTGTAGCTGTAATGAGAGAAATTGCATAAGAAAGATTTTTTTGGCCAAGAAAGAATGCTCAATTAAAAAACTGCATAGCTTTCAACTACATGTTGTAGGTGTAACTAGATTGCACCCTCAAACCAATAAAAAGCTATTTGAAAAACCAATATTACCTAAATAAACAAACAGTAGTAAAAGTATTTTAAACAGCAGGTCACAACTATATAGTATACACAGACCAACTCATATTAAATATAGTAAGCTATTTGAATCAGGAAAACACAAACTTAAAGGAGAATTCCAAAGCATATATAAAAATAGTTATCACACACATAAAAAAACTATTTCAAATAGTTTTTATTAGTTGTGGTTTTAATCTATTAATTTGATAACTTAATTTCAATAATTGATTTTGAAGTGCTTAATGTTGATAATATAATTAATACTTAATAGTTCATTGCAAATGATTGTTTATTTGACCACTTTCATTAAAAATACAATAATAGATTATTGCCAAGTAATCAAGTCTGTAAAAAACTGTTCTGCAGTTTATATTGTAATTGCTTTACTTTGCTTTTTTTAAATTTTTTTTTTTAAAGTTAAACAATTAGAATTTATTTATTTCTTATATTTCTAACTATTTCTTACCTAGCAATAGTATGATTTTTAATGCTGTATTAAAATTAATTACTTAAAAAAATTCAATTTAATAACATTTAATATTAAGGAAAAATTAAATTGTTACCTTTTTTTTTTTAACTTTATATAAGGCTGCAAGCAACCACTATTAGAGTTGGAACTTACTGGAAGAGAAAATATGAAGTTTATAAAGCAAAATAATGATTAAGAGACAACTTAAAAGATTTCAAATTATATGAATTAGGAAAACAAGAATAAGGGAGCAAATTCCAAAAAGCTGATGTTCGAGTCAAAAAACTTAACAAAAAATAATTTTTGGAGCACTTAGAAACAGTCGACGTAAAAGTATAAGAATTAAATGACAAGTAACAGGAGAATGAATTTCAGTAGATTGGTATATAAAATGTGTAGAAAAGTAGAAGTGAAGCAACATTACGACGATGAGTTAATGGTTGAAAGTTGCCTGCAAGAGCAGGTCCAACTATGTTTACAGTGCGTTTTTGCAACTTGTCTAAAAGAGAAAGGGCATCATTGAAAAATCGGCTCCAGATATGGCAACAGTATTCTATACAAGGACAAATTTATATTTGAGATAAAGAATAGAATCCAGAGTAAGAAAGTGGCGAGCACAATAAAGAGATGCAACCTTAGCAGATGCTAATTTTGCTATGGATTTGATACGTGGTTTCTAAGAAAGATTGGAAATAAGAGTTAGTCCTGAAGACAAAAGGTACATGACTCAGAGTACGTTATCGCTCATACATATAGGAAGATCTATATTATTGCGATAAAGATGCATAATTTTTTCCAGCTAATTGCGATAACAGTTAGCTGAAATTTTTTTTATCTGAATTAAAGTTCAGCAGCCATTAAGAGCCCCATGCTGTAGCAGTAGTGAGATCATTTTCAAACTCAAATCCCCTCTCCAAGCAATCAGAGATTGTTGGTTTCTTATCGAGGAAAAAATAAATGGTAGTATTATCAGTAAACAACTTACCACCTTGCCTATGATTGTAAGAAGACTAATAGTTAGACAAGTCTTATTGCTCTCCAGGAATTTCGAAAATATAGATAACTGATTCTGCTTTCCAGAAGGCTGGAAAACAAGACTCTGATAAGCACTTGTTAAATAGTTTTGAAAGAATAGATGACAGCTCTGCAGATCACTTCTGCAAAACTTAAACAGGTATGTTGTCCGGACCACAAGCTGTAGAAGAGTCTAAGCAAGATATCACTTTAGAAGAGTCTAAGCAAGATATCAGATAAAGAAGCTGGAGTGATACAAATGTGAAGCAATGGATCAACCTGTTCAAACCCAAAATTAGTTTTGAGTAGTTTTTAGTACATCTAAATGTACAAATAAAAATAGTTTTTTAAAATTTGAATGGTGTATATATAATCAAAATATTGTGTTAGTTAATACTAAGTTGTTGTTTTTTCTTAGTTAGAAAATTACAATTTATTAGTTCTATTAATTAATAAAAATAATAAACTAATAATTAAATAATAAAATGAATAATCATTTAAATTTTTTTTGTTACCAAAATTTATGAAAGCATAAATTTTAACAAATTTTTGTATTTTTTATTGGTATTTATTATCAAAATGATTTGTTTTACAGTTTAATAGTTTGATAAAAATAATTTAACATTTAACACTTTTCTTTTTAAATTTTTTCTTTTTTTTTTTTTTGTACTTGCTATGCAGTTGCTCAATTGCAATATTTTAGCAAGTATAATTTATATTTTTATAATATATATATATATATATATATATATTATATGAGAAAAAAAATAGTAATGTAATATATAGTTAGTAAACTCTGAACTGTTTTTTATCTTAATTTAAGTTTATTGTTATTTTTTTATTTTTGTTTTTTAAGGTGATTGAGTTAGTTCCTGAATCTCAAGCTTATATGGATTTATTGGCTTTTGAAAATAAACTTGATGCTACTATTACACGAAAAAAGCTTGATATACAAGAAGCATTAAAGAGACCATTAAAAGTGTGTAACTTAATTTTTAATCAATTTAAAAATTAACTATTTAATAAAATAAATTTTAATTTAGTAAAAAACTGTTATTATTATTTATAATATTAGTTTTAATTTTAATATTATTATTAATATATATATATATATATATATATATATATATATATATATATATATATATATATATATATATATATATATATATAACTATAGTAAAAATTGTAAAAAATACTTGAGTTTTAATGTAGCCCAAAAAAACTTTTATATAAAAAAAATTGTATTTTTATTATACAGTTCAATTTATAAATTACTTATAAGTTAATTATGCCTAATGCCCATGTTTCCACACATGTTTTTGTACAGGTTACTTTAATGCAGTCTTCTCCGTTTGAAATTTGATGCCACAATCTACAAAAAAGCGCTGGCAGGATGGTCATTTTTAAGTTAGCCTATGCGATTTTAAAAATTCATTTTTTCTTGCTATTTAAATCAAAATAAAAATAGCAGAAAGAATGCATTGAATAAATACTAGATAAAATAATTTTAAAAAACTGGAATTTTTCATAAAAGTTGAACAAATGAACAAAAATGTTTTGTTGCAATTTAAACATAATGCTTTTATTTTTTTGGCAAGCACTTTATTATTCGCTTACCAAAGTTTTTGCAGGTGTGTGGGCGAGCACGAAAGCGGAAGTTAAACAGAGAAGATTGATAATGCTGTTTTTATATTAAAATATAACATTTTTAATATTAAAACAATTTTTTACAACCGAATACTCTTCCTGGTGTTAACTTTTTTCAAGTTTATTTATTGATGCAGTTTTTATCAGTAATTAGTTTTTGTACCATCAAAAGAATAATAACAATTCATTGATTCATATTATCAATTACAAAAGTATAATAATTCTAATACATCCATTAAATACATCCTTTACTTGAGACAGTAATGGGTTTATGTATATTTCTGATTATGTTAACAAGCTATTTTTTCAGATAAATTTCCTTTCCGAAAATGGAATCATTCTGTTGTTTGCTTCTTTCTGGCATTGATTTCAAGTGGATATTTTAAAGAAGTTTAATATTTTTTCCCAATTTTAGGGCACTCATTAAACATGTGTGGCAGTGATTTTATATATATTAAACAATATATATAGTGTAAACGGTCACCAGAATCTTATTGTTATGTCTGTAGCTATTATGTTGGTAGTAAACAGGTGTCATATTGATAGCCATAGGGGGTATTCTTTGGAATGCAGATTGATATCCATTAAGTTAAGCTAATTGTTCTAAAAATGGTATATGGAAGTTGTTGATATACTCTAGAAAGTTGGCTCTGAGGTTCTGGCAGATCAATATCATTTACAATTCCTAGAATTTAGTTATTACAACAAAAGCACTCCAGTATTATCTTCCAAACCCAAATTTTAACTCAGAATGATATAGATGATTTGATCAGAGAAATCTAAAAATCTTGAATCAGGAAAAACTAAGTCATGAGCTGAACTTTTAACACAGCTGAAAAAATAGAATTCGCTTGAAAAGGTTGTAGGAGATTTGTAAATTGAAAACATGGAGAATTTGAATTCTATTGTAGTGTAAGGGACAATATTTGCTTCTGCAACAATTTGAATGACAAATTAATTACTTTAGGGCTTAAATATGTTCCCAGCAAATAATGATTGTTTGCAGATAGTTTAATGAAGAGTCTGAAAGCAGTGTTACTTTATAATGGCAATCAAAATAAAAATCACTGCCTCTTGTAACCTAATGTTTTTGTTTAGTTGACCTCAGGCGACTGAAATATTGCTTGTTTCTTACTTAGGTTTCTGCTATGATTATCAGTAGTCCCATATAAAATTTTTTTAGACAATTTTTCTCAACCTTGGAGGAAAAAAACTGAAAAAAATTAATTAAAATATTGGGCTACTAAAATTTGGGTAATAAGATGTTTAACTAAAAATGAATTATTTAATAAAAAAAACTGAATTTTTTTTTTTATTACTTTAGCTTGATCTTTGATCCGTTTAAAAATAGTTGAAATTTTTTTTTTTAGTTATCTAGGTACTCTAAGAAGTCCTTATGATCTTATCACAATGCACCACAAATAACATTTAACAATGAAATTCAGGCCTTCTTCCTTATTATTGATGCATGTATGGCCAGAGCTAGGGTTTCTGAACACTGTTTAACAGTAGCAGTAAAACAGTTGGTTTTATACCAGCTGTTTTACTGCTACTATAATAGTATAGAATGATAAGTAACTTTAATAAATAACTTTAGTTCAGTAGTTATCATTTTTTATAAAAAAAACTAAACACTAAACGCCTGAATACCGATTTCATTAATTTATTATGCTGTCTAAAGAACTCTACAGTAACCCCATCCAGACATATAATAACTTTTGAAGGAATGTTGGCATCTTGACTTTTTGGTGTTCATGACATTAATATTATTGAAACAACCTCCAGTAATCCATCAGATAAATTTTGAACTCTACAAGAGGAACTGAATGTGTTGCTAAAGAAAAATGAATCACCTGTATTATTAAAAAAAGTAAATTCAGCTTTTAACGACCTGAAATTGTCCTGGACAGGACAATTTCAGGTTGTTAAAGGCTGAATTTACTTTTTTTAATAATACAGGCCAGCGTACAGAAAACTTACAAAAGCATTATGATGCATTATCAATAATTAAGCCCACATCTACGGATGTTGAAAGAGTATTCTCTGTGTGCCAATTTTTGTACAAAGATAAGATCATGACTTTCAGATAAGTCATTATTAGCTCTTGTATTTTTGAAATTCTATTATAAAATGTAAAGTTTATGTTAGGATATATATTATTGGAAAAAAAATTTTCTCTTCCCTGCTTAATACAAGGAGAGTTTGGTGGAGGTAATAAGGGGGGGGGGGGGAAGGGAGTGCAAATTTCAAAAACAGTAAAACAGCTGTTAACAGCTGTTTTCGAAAACTATAAAACAGTAAGACAGCTGTTTTTTAAAAACCACTATTTTTCAGAAACCCTAGTCAGAGCAAGCTTCGAGCTATAGACCTTCAGCTCTAATAGCAAAACTCTAACTGCTACACCACGGCTGAAATGTTTTTAATTCAAAATAGAAAAAAATTTCCACTCGCATCAGTAGTAATGTTTAACCTTTTGTTTGACAAATTTTATATTAAAATTAAATAAAAATTTATTTAACTATGACTAACAAAATGTTTAGGTTATGATTTAAATGCACATTCACTTGATTCAAAATCTATTGTTTAAAAATGATAGATTGGCATTTTGAATTGAAAAATGTGATTTTGAAATGCATTTTTAAAATGTGACTACAATGTTTTGAAAGTCATAATCACACTTTAAAACATATAAAATCACGGTATGTCTAATTTAATTAAAGTGGCTTCTTTTTATTATGTTCTATAAAGTTGCTTACTATTATATTATGGTGTATTAATTCATATATTTTTTTAAAGGTTTATTTAAAATAATCACAAAGTATATAATCTTCATAGTTAAAAATATGGTTTTATTACTAATCACTTTTTTGTAAGTTACTGTCTTGTTGCCCTACTGACTAAAACTTTTTTCTAAATTTTAGTAGCTCTTTGCCAAGATTAGTCAGCCATAATGAGGTTGAACAGGTTTAAAAGTTCAAAAGGTTTTTAAAATCAAGTTGTAACAAAATGAACCAAATATTTTTTTTAAAGCACGATCTAAACATAATATACTAATAAATAAGTGGTATACATGTCAGTCTATATCTCAGATCTTCAGAAAATTGGCATTTTGTAAAAATTTTCAAATTTTTGAAATTTTGATTAGGTGTAGCAAGGTAAAAAAATTGCTTTTTTAAAAATTCAAAATATTGAAATCACTCATGATTACACATCTTTTTAGCTTGTATACATATTCCTAATAACTATTTTGTAAAATATAGACACCTCAACAATTATTATATTTATTTATATTTAGTTTAATTTATTTTAGCAAAAGCAAACTTTAAGAATTTTTGTGTCTACAAATGTTTATCCAGCAAAAGTTGATGAAACTGGAGTAAGTTTTTTTTTTTTTTTTTAATAAAATCCTTGAAAATACGTTATATATTTTGTTTATATATGAAAATTTTTATAGTAGTTTTAAAATAAGTAAAAATGCCAACATTAAAGTTTCTATGGTTGCCAAATTGGTTTTTATTCTTATTGCGAATTTGGAAAATTTTAATATCTTGAGCTCAAATTTGTTAAATGAGGCAAAACTAAAATTCCATATCTGCTGACAGGCAGTGCCAAGTTTTTGTTACATTTGTGTAGTTAGGATAACCACTGATGGATAGATATAATCACTTATAGTTAGAGTAAACACTTATGGTAAAGGTAACTACTTATGGTAAAGGTAACTACTTATGGTAGAGGTAACTACTTATGGTAGAGGTAACTACTTATGGTAGAGGTAACTACTTAAAATTCAAACGTATGCACTAGTTGTTAAACATAAAAAAAAAAAAGACAAGTATTTTAGTTTTATGTTTGTTTTGACTCTGATATGGTTTATGTTGCTTTGATAAAGAGGTGGTGACAAAGATTTCAATAAATTTAATGTTTAGACTGTGACAAGTGCAGTTGAGTAGGTTGAAACTAATTATTTGTATGTGATCTGGTCGCATTATTTGAACAAGACTTTTACCAAGGCAGCTGTTATATTTGAAATATGCAGCTTGACTTTATATATTATAAAAAAATATTTTCATCAAATCTTTGTAATATAACTACCTTTAGGTAAAGCAGCATACATAAACTTAGGGTTTTGATAGTATATACACCAAGTGCCTTCCACTACTGTCAACAGTGATGCACACCTTGTTCTTAATCCCAGAACTTGTTAAATCCAACTTTGTGATCATGGTATAAGTTCCCAAACTTTAAATAAAGTTCTTTTAAACAAACTAATTAGGAACTCTTCTGATTCATAAATTTTGATAACCTTTTGTTTAACACAATCTTTTGTTTAACACAATCTTTTGTTTAACACAATCTTTTGTTTAACACAATCTTTTGTTTAATACAATCTTTTGTTTAACACAATCTTTCAAAGATTGTCCTTTTTTAGCCTCAGGTTAAGCAAATATGCCTTTTTTACTTTTTAACTTTTGCGTTTTCTTAATAAAATGTTTTTATACTGAAAATAATGTGCAAGTTTTGTGATTGACCAGCTTTCAGTAGTTAATGTGAGTAACTTCCAGGAGCTAATGTTAGTAACTTTTAGGGGTTAATATTAGTAACTTTCAGGAGTTAATGTTAGTAAAGAACTTTAATAGATCACACTTTTTCTTCCTTTATACTTTTTTTCATTTTTTCCTGAAAGTTTTTAAAATAAGACTTGCCATGTTTACTGACATTTGGTGATATTTCCAATAGAGTAGTTGTTTAAACTTGTGTTATTAAGATCTGAACAATTATAATCTTTTTCTTCAGTTACTACATCTTGACTTCTGTATTTTGTTTAAGTTTGGATTCATTCATACAATTACTACACAGTTTTTCATTGTGTTTAATGTTAAGTTTGTTTGTTGTTAATATGTTTACTTGTTTTATGTTGATATATTTTTTATGTTGACTTGTTTTATGTTGATATGTTTTATGTTGACTTGTTTTATGTTGACTTGTTTTATGTTGATTTGTTTAACAAGCTGAATTAAAACACTGATATTATTCATTGGAAAATTTGAAAGTTTCACCAAAGTTGAATAGCTACAATTGCATCATAATACAGAGTAAATGGAGTATTGATCTCAATCTTTTCTTTGGTGATTGTCTATTTACAGAACCTCCACAGGGCAAAGTTTCATAATTTGTTTTAACTGTTTACACTGTTTTCTATGCTTGCAAAGTAAATGTTGTTTATCATATTTTAAAAACAAATAGCTTTCCAACAGTCTGCTGCCTAAGTGTTTTATTATTATTTAGTGCATAATTTAATTTTGATTTTGGTTCATCTTAATCAGTTATAACTTTAGAAAGGATTGGTCAAACTAAAATTTTTAATAATTTTATTTTTAAATAAAATCTGTGATTGGTCAATATGTGTAGCAAAGCTAAAGTAGTAGACACTTTTGAAAAGCAAGTTGATTTTATATTGAATGACCCAATTTTAAAATAATAATATATATTCTGCTTTAGAGAGAAACAGCTCCAGCTGAATGGGAAGTCCGTATCGAAGGCAGATTGTTGAATGATGTAAAAACTTGTTGTAGTTTTTTATGTTCTATTTTTTGTTTTTTTATATTTTACATTGTTCTTGCTGTTTAACTAAATTTATAAAGTTAGCACAATATATACTTGTATGACTAGTACTATTTTTGTTTATCTAATTTAATATATATATATATATATATATATATATATATATATATATATATATATATATATATATATATATATATATATATATATATATATATATATATATATATATATATATATATATATATATATATAATTGAATCAAATTTAAAGATTTTTTTTGTTGCCATTACGTTTACACTTTTGTAATTATATCCTTTTGAATTTTTATTTTTAATTTCTAATTTAGCCAGAAGTACAAAAAGAAAGTAACTCAACCAATCAAAAAAGAAAATTTTCCTCATTTTTTAAAAATCTGGTTATAGAGCTTGATAAATCAATTTATGGACCAGAAAACCACCTTGTTGAGGTCTTTATAAATAATATTATAAAAATAAACACAGACTATTTATAAATAATTTATCTGTATTTCAATGTGCAAGATATTAAATTGATGTCAGGATTATTTTTTTCTTTTCACAGTGGCATCGGACTACTTCTACACAAGAAACTGATGGCTTTCAGGTTAATTTTGTTTTTTTTTAAATCCATTTTATTTTTACATTGTAAATTTGATTTTAAAGATAATGAGTATTAAACATTGATATTAGTTATATTATTAGAGTTTTTATAATAAGGCATAAATGTTATATTTAGGTAAAAAGACAAATGGTTGGCAATATGGAAGTAAAGTGTCAAATATTTTTAATGATAGATTATAAGGTAAAGAAATTTTTCAATACTTTAAACAAATATCTTCATTTATTTTTTTACTTATAATAATTAGTTAAATTGTTGAAAGCTTATAACTCACATGATTTTTATGTTGTCTTAATAACTATCGTGATAGTGATGAAATGTAGTTTTCTTGCTTTGTAAGCAAGAGGAAATGAGTTAGATCCCTGCCATATCTCTTGTAGTACCATGCTCAACTTGTTTCTCTGTGTCGCAACCTTGTTCTTCAAAGTTTGTTTTTCGGAGCTACATGATTAAGTTAGGGTTGTAACTAGTGATGTGCCAAGGAGGCGGTAATTTGGCTGTTTTCCCAGGTACCTGGAATCAGCCATTTTGTTGCAGTACCCAGCACCGGGTATCTTAAAAGAAATTTTAATAAATATTAACCTTAAGTGCTGTAACTATTTGTTTTAGTTAAAAGCAAAGTCCTATTTACTCAATATAGATGTGTCTCACTTGAAACATTTAATTAAGTATATTTTTGCAAAATAATCAGAATATATTGCAAAAAGGAAACTGGTTTAAACGCATATTTGAATAGCTTTTTTTTATTGAGTGAGAGAATTTTTTCACAAGAGAATTTTTCAAAGAGTTAATTTTAATTTTAAAGCTCTTGATGTATTTAACATTAACAACGTCAGATGGCAAGTTAATCCAAATATTAACAACCCTGAGGAAGAAAGAATATTTACGAACATCGAGTTTATACTTTAGTTTGCATATTTTGAATTTGTGACCTCAAGTGTAAATGAACCAGTGAATGTTAAAAAGGGCGGAAGTCTTTGAAAACTTTTGGGAAACTAAAAAAAACTGCATTTTCCCCTAGTAAATTTTTGTTAATGGGTTAATAATTTTTTTTAAGAGGATAATGTTTTTCACTTTAAAAAAAAAATTATTGAACCAATAACAAAAAATTACTACGGGGGACAATGCAGTTTTTTTTAGTTTCTCGAAATTTTACATTACTGGACTTCCGCCCTTTTAATATTCACCGATTCAAATATAGTTGTTTATTAAACAGAAACTTGATATATTTAGGCGAACTTAATCAGCGCAAATTAATTAGCGTTATTTTCTGAAAACAATTCAATAATAGAGATTTCACAAACTTTTATTCCAACTTTTTATAAATGGACCTAGTGCTAGTTACCCAGACATGGACCCATTATTTTTTTACGGGTACAGGGACAGCATAAATTGGTTCCAGAACATCTCTAGTTTTAATGAAAATTTAAATTTAACGACAAGTCTTATGTTTGAGATATTTTACACTTTTGGTTTCTAATTGTTGTTTTTGTTTTTAATTGTTATTGTAAACATAGCATTTCAATCATTGCAAAGTTTTCTACTTGTTATTGTAAACATGTTGTTTCCAATCATTTAAAGTTCTCTAAAAGTGGTTAAAGTAAAATTTAATTTTTTTTTGACTTTATAAAACTTAAAACTTAAAAAAATTATAAAACTTTAAAGTCTCATTTTTTTATATTTAAGGTAACAATAAATATATCTTTGTTGTTCAAAAATTCAATACCATTATTTAATATTTATGGTTTTGTTATTGTAACATATAGATAATAAAATTACAGTTACTCTATTTCAAACTAGTATATTTTTTTAATTTTTGAAGTAATTAATAAAAAATCTGATCAAAATTAGTTGAAATGAAAACTTGCCAGTAAAGTTTTGATAAAAGAAAATTCAAAAAATTAAATTTTTTTAATTTAAACCCAATTTTAAAATAATAATCAAAAAAATCATAGTTTAAAAAAAAAAAAATTAATTAATTGGATAGAACAGTTATCATTTATGTACTATGTATTTTTAATATATTTATTTTTATTTGTTCATTTATCTCTTATGATTTTATAATAATATATTTGTTTTTAGCCTCCACAGTTCAAACTATCTTCTCAATTAGCTCGGGTGTTAGGCATCCACACACAAACACGACCTGTAATAATTGGTGCTCTTTGGCAGTATATAAAGGTATAAAATTAAAATTAAAAATAAATTAAAAATAGATAATTAAAAAAATAAAAAGTTATGTTAAAATATAGAGGTAAATAGGTAACTCATGTTTCATGTATAAATTAATTTTGATAACAGCTCAGAGGTGTATATTAAGATTACCAGCTTACTGATTTCAATAACATAATTATGCAGTAGTAGAGCTTATAAAAAATAAATTTTATAAAAATAATTTTTAATTATAACATATTCTGGAATCATATTTAAGTTTATATTTTTGATAATAAAGTTATTTTAAGTTATTTTAATGGTTTAGCAACAAAACTTTCAAAAAATTCATGTGATAAAAATCCTGTAAACTATTATCTTGACCATGAATTTTATCGCATTATCTGAATTCATTTATTCTAGAAATGGAGTCTTCAATTTATGGTTGGTCAGATTTTGTTAATTTTTACTTTTAAACAAGTTTGCTTCTAACTATTTTATTAATTTTTTGTTTAAAACAAGTTTTCAACTGTATGCAACCATTATATAAGTTGAGCATTATTAGAGAAAAAAAGAAAAAATTAAAATTAAAATATTAAAAATTATATTCAATTGTATGAGTTTGGAAAGAACAAGAAGACAGAATCCAATTGGTTTCAAAAGTGTTGATGGGTTCCAAAGAGTTTAAAGAGTTGAAGGTTCCAAAAAATTGATGAGTTCCAAAAAATTAAAAGTTCAGCAATAGAGATGTATAAAAGTTTTTGAATTTTTTGTGTAAAAGTTTTTGTAAATTTCATTAGACTTTAGATTAGTTGTTAGGTTTTAGAGACTAGTAGAGAATAGTCATCAGTAGAGATTAGATTTTAGAGATGAAGAAACAATCTTTGTAAGTAGCTCTGGGTTAAACTTGAGAGTGGTAATAAGATCAGATTCATATTTTTTGAGAAATGGAGTATTAAAGTTTTCTTTGTCATGGCCTTATAGAAGATTTTCTTAAATTCTCTAGCATTTAACTTTTGAGACAAAGTTTAATCTAAGAACAACAACCTTAGCATTAAGCAATACCTTTTTGCACCAATCAAAAGATATTTGTTTTCAAGAAGGTTTTCTGTTACTACTACTTTCAATAAGAAAGCTGCACAAAAAAGAAAACAATGGGGTAGAGTGAAGCTTGACTTGAAATCAACAAAAAGAATTAAAAGCTTGCATCCCTACTTGAAACCAGTATTTTAAAAAAAATAGCAGAAAATCTTTGTAAAAAGTTTTTTAAAACTAATGAGTTTTATAAATTTCTTTAAAAATGTTTATTCAATCACAATTATAGGCATATAAATTAATTTATTTTATAAAAAATTCAACTTTGAATTTTTTTAACTTATGGCATTGTGAAAAAAAGCTGCAGAATGCCAGTTTAAAAAAAAAAGTTTTTACACACCAGTTTTATTGTCAAAAGTAAAATTTGAAATGCTGTCAACTGACCAATAAAAAAAAATTTAATTCTATCAACTAACCAATTTAAAAAAAATAAATAAATAAAATTGTCAACTAACCAATAGAAAAAACTGTAAAAAGCAAAATTGAAATTATTTCCACATAAACACTACAGGAACACTACATAAAAAATACAGGAATTTTAGTTTTTAAAAATTTAAAAAAAAAAAAAAATTTTCTTCTACATTTTAAATGTTCTTTTTTCAAATTAATTTAAAGTAATTTTTTTTTTCATTTTTATTGTGATATAATTTTTTTATTTTATTATGTTTCCGTTGATGTTTATGGGGTGCATTAATGTTTATTGGTGTTGTTTGTTTTATGTTGACCTAAAATTAACTCTCATTTGTTAACTGTTTACATACAAGTTACATACTTGTAATGTTATATGCTTCACTGCTTTTATGTGCTACTTATGTTTATATTTGTCTTTTTTGTTTTTATTTTTAGCAAAATAAACTTCAAGATCAAGAAGAAAGAGAGTTTATTAATAATGACAAATATATGGCAGAAGTATGATTTTTACATATTTAATAAAAAAATTTTGATATCCTAAATAAACTATATAAATAAAAATGTCAATTTAATTTTGGTTTTTTCATTTATTTTGTTTCAACTCATTAAACTCCTTTTTACATTAAAATGTTTTTTGTTTATAACGATAAACTCATATTTTCAACAAGTTATAAATTTAATTTTGTATTAAACTTTTTGTGTTTGAATAAGTTAATAACCATGACAACCATTAATTAGCTATTTATTTATTTGTTTTAAGTTTTAAGACTTATTTTAAGAAAAAAAATTAACACAATGCTATCTACAGAATCCATGTTACAATCTTAATATTGCAGTAGAGTTGCTTAAAATTATTTATTGACTGATGGGTTGATGTTTGTATAGATAATATCTATGTATGAAAGAGATCTATTTATTTATGTTTGCATTTATTCACACTCATGTTTTGGATTGCAGACTAAAGTTTTTAAAAAAAGAATTAAAAAGTATATGTTTAAAATAAATTTGTAATAAATATAGTTGTGTACCAAAATGGAAATTTTAAATTCCGGCCGAAACCGAATTTGCGTGAACTGTCTATAAAATTTACCAATAATTCTTAATTACCCTGTAAGACAATGAATTTTATATTTAATTTACCAAGTATGTGTCACATGTCTTTAAAAGAAAGGTAAAAATAAATTCCGTCATTCCAGCCTGAAATGTTGTATTTCCAGCTGGAACCGGAATGAGCTAAAAGTCGCAAATTCTGGTCGGAATGGAATTCGGGTATATCGTTACCTTAACCCATCAGTTGATATATGTTCAGTGTATATATATATATATATATATATATATATATATATATATATATATATATATATATATATATATTAATTGTATTATTAAGATTTTCAGTTGTCAACGAATGAAGTTTTGTGAAATACCACAACGTTTACAGGCACACCTACTGCCTCCTGAACCTATCGTAATAACATACATGGTGAAGTAAGAATTAACAAGTTTGAATAAAAATTTTAAAATTTGCAAGTTTAATCCACTGTAACTTATGGTTTTTCAAAAAATGATTTGTATGGATGTGTTTTAAAGCTACATTTAAAAATTGCTTTGTAAACAATAATAATTAAGCATTCACTGAAAACACTTATGGTCATCTTTGCTTTTTTAAAATATGTAAGCTCTTCCAATTTACGCTCTTCTTTTAAAATAGGCTTTATGACCATACACATACTATAATTTAGCTTGAATATGGTTTATTTTAAAACTGTTTTTCAGTACTATTGAAGAGAAGAAATCGTCCTGTTATGATATTGAAATTGAAATAGTAAGTTTGTTTTGAATTAAAAAAAAAATTTAATGTTTGATTTATATTGATAATGAAATAATTGTGATGATACATGAATACATAATTGTTAATGTTTACATGAATACAAAATAGTGAATATTTACATGAATACATAGTAGTGAATGTTTACATATTGCTAAGATTACAAAGTGATATTGTATTTTATACTTTACATTTGTGTGATAATAAAACATTGTCGTTACTTATTTTTTAAAATTATTTTTACAACACTCTCTCAATTCTTTGACTCTGAATGATCCTCAACAAACAAAGGTGATGCATAGAGAAACTAGTTGAGCATTGTATTACCAGGAATTTGGTGTTGGATCAAACTCAAAAACTATTCAAAGGAAGCACACTATCGCAGTGTTTATCTTTTTCAAGTTTTGGGAAAAATACTAATAATCAATACCATAATAATAAAATTGTTAATAATATTTTGGTTAATGCTTAAATCTAAGCTAGATAATAATTAGTATGAATCCTAGGCAATATACAGTTTCTCTCTTAAAAGCTAATTAAATATAGTGGTTTTTAATAATTAGTTTAAAAAAATTCAATAATTTATTTAATTATTATAAGTCATCTGTTTACTATTTTAAAATCTCTATATTGTAGAAGTACTATTTAAAAAAATCATTTCAGTACAAACTTATGTTAAAGTTTTTCTCAAATACAACTTTCAGAATTAGGTTGGCAATTTTACTGTATTCACCACCCCAAGACTGCTGTGACCACTTATGTTGAAGTTTTTCTCAAGGCTGCTGTGGCCACTATAGTTGAGGAGGCTATTCTTTTTTTGATACAACAAAACCCTTTTACTCCAAGTGTGATTTTACCATGGGTCATGATGGGAATTAAGCATAGAATTTCTTTTTAGAGTTATGAGGTGCAAGTCAGCAACTGATTTGCACCACAAAAAGTGTGAGATTACTTTATCTCAAAAAAAATTATTTAAGTTATCATTTTTTTTAAGTTATCATATTTTATCATAATCTTTTTGCCGTTGCCCATAACCTTTTTGAGGTTGTATCAAGTTGGATTTTCAAGTTCAATGAAAATTCATTAAATCAAAAAAGCTTATTTGATTACCATATCATTTGGTTATTTTTAGAATGAAGGTCTCATTGAGACCCTCATCGTAAATGGCAGGAAACTGTGGGAAAAAGATTTTGTATGGGTAGAAAAGATTTAGGGAAAAAAAAAAGAACCTTAAGTTTTTTTTTTTTTTGTAGGATGATTCCTTGCGCGATATAATGCAATCGTTTATGCTATCCAGTGCAAGCCAACAAGAAATTACTACTTTAGATGCAAAGGTAAAATATATACCTATTTATTTAATAAGTAACTTTTCTTTTTTTTTTTCTCTATCAGTTTAAACTTTTTATTTCTTATATTCTTTTCCAGATCAATGAAACCGTAGAAGGAATTAATCAGCTAAAAGTTCATCGAGATTTTTTCTTGTCTTTTGCAAATAATCCTCAAGTAAAATCTTTTTGATTGTCAATTTTTATATTTATACATTTTTACGATTTTGGAGAAAACTGTAAAAAAAATTTTGGTCTAAAAGTAGTTGTGTAGTGTATAATTTTTTTTATTCTTTTATTAATTGTAAAATTTATTAGGAGTATAAAAATATTTTTATTTAATGAGAAATTAAATTTTATTTTTCTTATTTAATGAGAAGTCATTAAATTTCATTTTTCTTATTTAATGAGAAGTCATTAAACTTCATTTTTCTTATTTAATGAGAAGTCATTAAACTTCATTTTTCTTATTTAATGAGAAGTCATTAAACTTCATTTTTCTTATTTAATGAGAAGTCATTAAACTTCATTTTTCTTATTTAATGAGAAGTCATTAAACTTCATTTTTCTTATTTAATGAGAAGTCATTAAACTTCATTTTTTTTATTTAATGAGAAGTCATTAAACTTCATTTTTCTTATTTAATGAGAAGTCATTAAACTTCATTTTTCTTATCAAAGTGTTTGAATGCTTAAACCTTTTTTTTTACTATGGTACTATATATATACTATGTTACTTTATTATAGAAATTTATGAATGATTGGCTTACTTCTCAATGTGCTGATTTAAAGGTAATTATTTTTTAAATAATTTTATTAGTGTTTTTATTGGGTAGTTGTATAAAATATATATCATGTAAAACATATATCATATAAAATATATATCATTTACATAAGTTATTCATTATAACATATTAACCATTTATATTATATATGGAAAAATAAAAAACACTTTTTAACATCTTTCATACTTTTATAGTTTGTTTTCAGTTATATTAATATAAGAGTTAGAAATTGCAAACTATTACAAGTTATAATATACAATAAATATTTCTACTTTAAAAAATGTATAACTTATGGGAACTTTAAATCAATACTTATTACTAATGATAACCATTTATCTATGAAAAGTCTGTGTTATGTTTTTATATCTTATAATATTAAAAAGTATTAGAATGTCTGTGGCGTAACTATACAACTTGAGGACCATGGTATATTCAGATGGGCGCCCCAGTAAAAATGTAAATTATATTTTAATTAATCACTAAAGAAGTTACCCGACAGTAACAGTGTTACTGTTACCCTGAGCAACAGTGTTACTGTTACCCTGAGCAACAGTGTTACAGTGTTTTTGTTAAATAACTAGTGAATTTTTTTTGTGAATGGTATTATGAAATAACAATTTAATCTTTAAAAAGTTTTTAATAATAAAATTATTTTCTCCAAGCTTTCTGTTCTACAAAAGTATTAATAGCATCATTGAATTTTAAAGATTCACATTAGAATTTTTAATTCAGAATAGCCAAGTTACAATACCATAAGTTAGGTACCCTGTCTTGCCCTATTAAGTATCTTAAATAGGTTTTCGTTAGTTTTAATTACAATATAAGTTGCAGTACATATTTCAGGAAAGCTGTATGACATAATATGATTTTTCACTAATATATGAAATTTTTCACTAATATATGAAATTTTTTCATTCATTTAGTTAATTAATAATGATGTTCAATACTCTATAAAATATGTTCGCTTTAAGGATACTTTCCAAACCTTGGAGATGGTCTATCAAGTATTCTTATTTTGTATTAGCGTTTGTCTAAATAGCAAAACACTTTTTTCCTGTTTTCAAATATTTCTCCTAGATTATTTACTTTTTTAAATGTCCCCAAGCTATGTAAACTAATAGAAAAATAAGGAAACCATCCACATCTTTAGTAAAAGTTTTTGTTTAATCATTTATGTAATGTAAATTATAATAGTAGCAGATAGATGTAAATATGAAACAATGTTTAAAAAAAAGTTAAATTATAAGTTGATCGCCATTATCCATTGTTGATACAATATAACTAATTAAGTTTATAACTATTAACAATAAAAAAAAAATTGAGTTACCAAAATAACAATCTATTGGCTTGATCAGCCAACCAAAAAATAATATTGTTACTACATGAAAGAAAAGGGTTTAGTGTTTTATGGATTTTCTATATGTGATATTCAACAAATTGTCTTCATCCATTTAATAAAAATAATAGTATTGAAGAAAGAGATTTGTAAGCGGATTTTTGAGAGTCACCCAAACCTTCCACTAAGAAAGCCTGATATGTTGCCTTTAAATCGTGTTTATGGTGTTAATGTTTACTAAATTGTATAAATTAAATTCAGTAAACATTTATTTTGATTATATAGAAATTGTCATGGATAAAAGTTTTTATCCATGACAATTTCTATATAAAACTGAACATAAACCTGTTACAAGTAGAGAAAATGGTGTAAAAACTACAGGGTGTACAGACAAAAACCAGACAATGAAAATACTTTAGGAAAGGGTAAAGAAATATTAAACAAATTCATTTGACCTTTGTAATGGATTATGGAGTAAGACTGCAAATGGTGTCAATATTACTAATATACAACTTGGATTTTCTAAAAAAACCAGTTTCTAATATTTTAACATTGGCAATTAGCATTAAGAAGTTATGATTTACAATTAACATACGATAAGTCTAACGCTGCAGTAGCATCCAAATGTAGTTGGACAAACGGCTTTTTCCTAATATTTTTTTATTGAGTCAAATTTTTAAACAAACTTTCTTAAAAGTATGTCAAATTATACTGCAATTATAAAAAACATATTGATTTTCATTCTTTTAATAAAACTCCCAAGTTTTATTTGGGAGTTTTATTAAAAGAATGAAAATGATTGGCGCAAAAGTAATTAGACAAACTAAATATGTTCTTAAAAGCAATATTGCCTCTACAAATAATCACTTTTCAGCAATTTTTATGATGATTTCTGTTACATAATGTATATAATGTTACATGTATGTAAAACTGCATATAATGCTAATACTAGTAATCTTTATATAATGCTAATAATAACTTTTTTATACGGGAGTAGTTAAAAACACTTGACTAATAATCATAAGGCTTCAGGTTTAAATTAACCTTACGCCTAAGGAAGAATTGCGCTCAACCTGTTTTTCCGCGAAGCGCACAGTGAGTCAGAAAGGTGAAAAAACTGCAAAAATTATACAACTATCATATATAAACATGTGATACATCAATACTATCGTATTTTAAGTCAAAAAATTTAAATTTGCTGTTGAAAATATTTTTTACGCGTACAATGCGCTTATGCGTGTAAGTGTCATTTACGCATGCAAAATATGATTTAAATTAAAAAATCGGATTCCTTGATCCAAAATACCATATAAAAGAGTACCGCATATTTTTTAATGTAAATTTTTCTTGTTCCTAAGGTTCATACTACACACGCGTATATGTGTTAGATTCTTTTACGCGCACAAATTATGACTTAATTTGAAAAAATTAAGTTCTTCAAACCAAAACATCCACTAATTAAAAAGAAAAATTGGATTTAAAATATATTTTAATATTATAACAATATTAAAATATATTAAATATTTTATATAAATAAATATTTATCTGATTATAATATATATATGATTATAATATATTTGATCAAAATAAATATTTATCTTATCTGATTTTTCTTTCAAGAAAACAAAAAAGAAAACCTAATATTAATAAAAAAGCTTTATTTCATTATTACAGCATTAACAAAGATAAAACTTCAGGGTTAAGTGTTTTTCCATTTTCAACCTTGTATTTTTTGAAACTAATGTTTGATATTACATGATCACTTCTAATCAACAGGTATGGGAACTGGTTTTTCATAACATTCTTTCTAGATATCTTGGCTGTATGGTTTAATCTAATTTTGTGAATTTCCTTATTTAGAGCCTTATGTGACTCTTCAGAGTAGTAAACAATTGACAGTTTTAATGCCTCAGATATCTGCACACCATGTTCCAAGAGTTAATGAACGGTTGGGGGAATCACATACCATCAATAATTTTGAGTATAAGAGCTGTAGTTTCCTAGCAATACTGCCTAAAACTTTCAGAGTTCAACTCAACGAGAACATACTGATATTAGGATTGTCCTCAATCTAATAATTACATCTACTGCCACTCTGTAGTATCAGTGAAAGTTTTAGCATTTTCAAATGCCCTTCTGGCAGTGTTTCCATTGTTAGTGTTGCCAAAACCTTGTTTTGGCATATCAATTATAAGACTTAGCTCCTCTCTAAACCTCAATTGAATGATCTTTTTTCTACTTTTAACTGATGCTTTTTCAGCAGGGGATTTGGCAAAGTATTTTTTGATATCTAACTTAAATCCTAAATGTAAAATATATTCAAAAGATCTAAGCCAGTAATGCAGAGTAGAAAGGCTCAAAGATAAAGTTTTTTCATTGATTGGTTTAGATCTGATCAATGTTGGGTTATTAAGTTCACTGGGCTTAGCTTCGCAAACATATGATTGGGAGGACAGAGTGTTAGTAAGGGCTTTAACTACTTTACCATCAAACATAGTTAAATTTAGTTTGAAATTAAATGTGATAGTCGCATACGGTTTGCCGTCCTCTACTTCTAACTTTACTTCAAACTTGACTAGTCAATTCATTTCTGCTTTAAAAGTTCATAATCATTTCTTATCAATTCTTCCGTTTCTTTTTAATATTGGAGATGTAAAGGTCTGCAGTAATGTGTTCTATAGGGCTTCTTATTTAACCATACATTTTTGTTCAAGATAGTTAATTTAAGTGGAAAAATAGCTTTCTGGAAAAGACTCGTTAACTTGGGCCTCACCAATATTTGTATCAGTATGTTTTTGTTTATAAACACTTTGACTGGAGGCACCATCAAAACCACCTTTAAAATAAAGTAGACCTTAAAACCTCCCCCTAATTTCAGCAAACATGCGCATAGAGCATTCCGTAAAAGTTAATATCATTGTCAGAGTATGATTAAACATACTCTGTGGAGGAGTTGAAGCAGATGTTTCGTTCACAATTAAACCAGGATAACATTTGTGTCTCTCATTCTTAATTTCATGAAGTGAAGAATAAAAACCTGCGTTATTTATTATTAATGAATTTCTAATAATTTGATACTGTTCATCAGGAAGGTCACACTGAATTTTTAAGCTCAAGGCATCTTCGGTTTTCGTTTTTATCGGAAAATTTATCTCCGTGATTTTATCTTTTTCAGAGTTTATTTTTCATGAGAACAACGAAGTCTTTTTTGTTAGGATCTTCTAGTGGCTTTTTTTTTATTGAAGCTAATGCTTCAGCAGGATGCTTAGCCAATTTGGCAACCTTAAACAAGATAATATTTAATATTCAAGCTTGTAAACTGTTTTTTAAACTGGGTTGAATTTATTTGATTTATAATTACCTTAGATCTTCTGCTTCTATCACCTAAATCTTCCCAGTTCTTGCACCTTCTACCTGGACCTGCCTCAAAGGTTTTTTTTTGTCAACAGTTACATCTTTGTCCAACCAAGTTTGTTCATGTTCTAAAAGTCTAGAGAAGGTTCTTCAACTTTAATCAGAATTTACATTTAAATATTATTAGAGTTTTCTTTAGATTTATCATTTCAGGTTTGTTAATACTTTCATAGTATAAACCCTCCAGTCTACAAAACTCACGTAGAAGAGCATCGAGTAAATTATCATGATTAATTTTTAACTCTTGAATTATAAGAATTAAATGTATTCTTTTCATGTTGAATGTAAGCAATGAACTATGGTTAGTTATTTTATATGCAAGTTTTAACATGCACTATGCCAGCAAATGTTATTATAAAAATGCACTATGCCAACAATGTTATAATACACCATTTGCTTGAGCATGAGTTTTTTTACTAATAGGAACTAAATGTATTATTTTTGTGATGAATGTAAGCAACGAACTATTGTTCGCTACTTTATATGCAAGTTTTAATTGACAACGGGGGGGGGGGGGAAACGAAGTATTTAAAAGGTCTTATTTTAATTGGGGCAAATAATTTTTATTTTTTCTGCTTTCATATATACCTATTAATGGGAAAATGTTACAACTAGCATGGAATCTAGTGGAATCTTTTAGTTTTTGAACTAAACTCATAATTAAGTTATTTTAAAAAAATCAGTTTATGACACATTTTTGAGATCTTAGTAATAAAAATCTAAAATTAAAATTTATTGTCAAAAATGTTGTTAATAGTTACCAAACATCTTAAACATGTAAATTCAAATTAAATTTTGATATGTTTTTACCCGTATTAATCTTAAAAGGTTGACACTAAAGCGAGACTTTTTTGAACGAGTTTTCCGATATATAAATTAAAATAAATGTCTTGGAAAAAGGCGTATAAATTGGTGAAATCTTAAAAATTATTCACAAAAAAATTAATTTTTAGTGGTATTTAGTTACATTATAATCTAATTAATTATTTTCTAGTAATAGTTTTTTACGGGGTTTTTTTTTGTGCCATTTTTTATAGATTTTGACTCACTGTGCAGCGGCCTTGTTTAACAAGGTTCGTGTTTTGGAGTTTAGGTTAGGGTTACTGTTTGCTTCGAAAACCAACACTCTATTGTATAGTCGTTTTTCTGATATATATTTTTAATTTTTCCCATTTTTCAATTATATACTCTCGTTGTTAAAGGTATCCAAGTAAAATAATGTTATAGTTTATTTATAATAACAATCCTTTTATTTTTATTGTCGTGTATTATAAATTTTTGTCACATTAAAAAAAAAAAATTTAATTTAAATTCTTTAATTTTTTTTTTTTTTTTTAAAAAAGAATGTTTTTTTTTTATTTTTAAAAATAGAAAGACTTTAATTTTAAAACTTTAATTGGTTTAAATATCTTTTATTACCAACTCACACCTGATGAGTTGCATAATCACACAATTATATATTCCTTTTTTTTAAATTTGTAACAGCATAATTATTTTTTACACCGTAAAACGGAATCGAAAACTATTACGTTTGCATACGCTTTTATCTCTTTACTTTATTATGGACAGCCTCGTTTTTAGTAATTCTAAATTGATTTTTAGACAATGACGGATGTGGCAGGTAATGCTGAAGAAGAACGTTTATCAGAGTTTTATAATCAACCTTGGATCGAAGAAGCTGTTCATCGTTATTTCTATAGACAGGTAAATATTTAAGCTTTCTTATGAATAAAACCTTATTTTATTAATTTATTTCTTCTGTTTTTTTATTTCTAATTATTTTTTCTGTTTAGATTCAAACAAAACGCGCTGAGTTAGAGCAAGTACTTGGCATAAGAAGCTAACAGACGTCAGATTTCTACAAAACAAACGTAAGATTTCAACAAAACAGGCGTCAGATTTCTACTTATCAAGTCCTTTTAGAAATCACTTTTTCCCCAATATTTTTATTTTGAAATAAAATCTATTTATTTGAATCAAAATATTGCTTTATTGGTATGAAAATAACCTTATTTTTAGAAATTTTAGTTTTGTGATTTTTTAATGTTCAAATTAAATTTGATTGATTTTTTATAAAACAAATTAGTTCAAAAGCGGGCGCGATGCGGTTTCTTAGAAGTTTTTTAATAGTTATTCTAGCTAATGTAAAGGTAATTTTGCTCCCCAGTCTCGGTGGTGTCAGTATCTGAGTGTCATACCATTAATGTTTATTAACTAATTTCTTTATGTAATAACCCATAACAACGCTTTTTTTTTTCGTTTTACAAGCGCGAATTGTTTCCTGCATCTTTATGAATTAAAATTTTTTTAAAAAGCAATTATACCTTCCAAAGTTGGCTTTGAGCTCAGGAAAATGTTTTTTTTTTATTTTGCACCTCATCAAATATATAAGGGCTAGGGGTTTTATTTTATAAATAGAAAATTTTTGTAATTTAGAAATGTCATAATAATCTGGACGATAATATAGTAGATATATATGTATATAGTCGGGTACTGATTACATCGTCACATAATTAAAAGGCCTAGAAAGAATTTAAAATTAATTACATTATATAATTAATAGTTATTATTTTTTGTCTTTCATAAAGTACTTTAAAAAAAATTCAACTTAGACAGTTAAAAACTGATAAAACCTAACAATGAGAAAAACAATTATTTAAATTGAAAATAATAATTATATTAAGAATATTTTTACCCATGAATCATGATATATAATCATAGCACTATAATTATAATAGAATTAACAATAATAAAAAAGATTTGATCGACTATATCAATTGGATAATGCCTTCTATCAGTAGAATCTTCAAAGTTTACAAGTGCTGCAGAGTTAAATGGTTCATTTTCGAGTTGAAATTATATATGTATATATATATATATATATATATATATATATAATATATATATATATATATATATATATATATATTATGCTGCTGAGTTAGGTGAGCATGATGACATCATACTGAAATAGCCTGCTGCGGGGGCTTCAGTACATACATCGACTGACAAATAGCCTGACTCGCAGTGGAGTGCTGCTACATCGACTGAGGGTTTGGATATATATATATATATATATATATATATATATATATATATATATATATATATATATATATATATATACAGAGCCGTGGCTAGGCTCCCCCACACACCCTAATTGGGGGGGGGGCAGCATTTTTAGGGGCCCTTTTCAAAAATTTAAAAAAAATATTGTATTTTTTCTAAAATAATATTTAAATATATTTAGTTACTGTTACTATTAATAAAAAAACTTTTAGTCACAATATTACCTAATTTGTACAAGCGTAAAAAAAGCAATTACATTTTTAATGCAAAAAAAAAAAAAAAGAATTAACACTCCGGAGCACAGTGGGATAAAATCGCGTTTTTTGTGCCAAAATTAATTTTAATTTTTTTTATTACCATATAAAATGAATATCATTTATATATTGCTCATATATATTGCTAAAAAAGTTTATTTTTTAGTTTAATTACCATTAAAAATTACGAAATAGATCTATATACTAGAACGTAGAATTCTCGCAAATAAAAAGTTCAACAACACCCGGAGGAAATTTTTTTTTTATAGATGAAACAATTTTTCTATAAGATGAAATAACTGGATCAGATGTACATAAAAGTCTTTTCAATACATCTTCGTTTGTCTTTGTTCTTGAATTTTTACGGGAATGATGTTCCCTATATTTTCTAAGTTCTTTATTTCTAGCTTCTTGAGCTTCTTCACTAAAAGACCTATTGGTAAGAATAGATTTTCTATTACTTCTGCTCCATGAATTGAGATCTTTTGAAGACTCTGAGACATGTAATACCAATGGTACAACATGAGTAGAGTTTTGCGGTCTCCAGACAAAGTAAGCGAAACTTACTAATATCTATTTGAAATCCACTTGATATACAAATTAGGATTATATGCAACTTTACAATTAGTTCTTTGTAATATCCTGTAATATCAGCAAACAAGTCTTCATTTGAAAAAGCTTTTCGAGCAGTATTGCCGTCATTTGAGTTTCCAGATCCTCCACATTTTGGGTAGTCAACAATAAGTCCCATTTTGTGTTGAAATTTTTTTTGTATTTTCATTTTTTGCTCTTTAACAAGAGATTTCTCTACGTCTCCTCTTGCTTGCCATTTTTTTTATTGGTATCTTATATGAAATATGTATGAGACACTTAAAAAATCTTATCCATGCATGAAGTGTAGATAATCCATATTGATGCTCATCCGGTGAGTATGGAAGTTTCGTAACTTTGTCAATATTGTTCATGTCTTTTGGTGAACACCCGCATATTACAGCAACATTGACCTGAGCTTGTTACATTTGATAGAGCAGTATGAACTTTACCATCTATCATTGTAACTTGAATGATATGTTTGACTGAAATAGACTTACCATTAGATAACTGAACAAAAGTTTCTACAAGATTTAAGATCTCGTCTTTCAAAGTAGCTTTTTCAATAAGAAATAAATCAGTTGTTTCTTTTTCAAATTTAAATCTTAAAGGTCGGCAATATAAAGTGGAAGAAGGTTTTGGATTTCTCCAAATGACAGTTAGGGTTTCTCTAACACAAGTTGTAATCTGAAGTGGACCCAGGCAAGTTAGAAACAATGATTCTTCTCCTTTTAAGTCGCGAAAACTTTCAACAGACATTTTTTGTTTATATATGCTTTGACCAGTAGACCCATCAAAACCTACTTTATTATGAAGAGATATCAGATTAAACGTTTCTAGCATACATAAAACCTCATTTTGAACTCGAAAAAGTCTTTGAGCTGTATGGTCACAAAAACTTTGTGACCGTGGTATACTTGCAGTATAGTCAGTAAAAATCATCTTATTAGGGAAGCTCAAAAGTTTTGATGATTTTATATTGTTATATGCAGGATACAGGTTGCATTCTTTTTCAATTGCTGCATTTCTATGGAGTTGAAACGCAGCTTTGGTCATATTTGAATCTAGCATCAACGACAATGCTTCATTTCCAGAAAGCATCGAATCTACATTCTTATCTGAATATATTTTGTTTAATGCTTTAGCTTTTTGTATTTTTTCTTCTTTATTTAATGAAACTTTTGAAGCAAATAATAGCTTATGTGACGAATGAATTTTTTGAAGTTTACAAACATTTCGATACTTAGTTATTGAAGAACACTCTTGAAAGTCAGTAATTGTTGGTCGACCAGCGCTGGACGTAGATTGAGAACTTGCAGGAGGTATGGTTATTTTTCCAGCAGCAAAATCATTTAAATTAATTTCATTATCAATCCTTTTAGTATTGTTCTTAATAAATAAAGATTCTCTGCGTTTACAGACATTCCAGCTATATTTAAGGTGTGTTAAAATGTTCATAAGTGTTGATCTACGAACAATTTCATTGTTTTGATCAAGGGATAACTCAAAGAATGTTAGCAAATGAATATATGATTTCTCAGTATCTTGAATAGAAATTTCATTACCTTTTTAAGAGTTGAAAAGATCAAAATATTTCATCTAAAAACAAAATTGAAGTTATTGCATCTTGCGGACAAGTGTCTGTAAAATATTATTAGTGCATACGCTATATGTAAAAGCATTAGATATACTGAAAAGGTTATAAAAATATTTTTTTAAGGAGGAAAAGAAAAGGGGGGGGGGAGGAGAGATGAAGGGAAAAAGACACCATATCAACAAGTATCATATATATAACTAAAAAAAAATAATTATTGAAACCTTTGGTAAAAAAAATCTTGCATAATTAATTTGCACTTAAAAAGTCATGAAAAATATTTGAGTTTCAAGAACTTTTGAAAAACGTGTTTTTGCAATAAATACTATGAATTGAGTATGAGTCATTTGTTATAACTTTATTAGTTGCAAAAAGTTGCAAAATATTTATGATAAATTGCAGTTAAGATACATTAAGCATCCAATTTACATAATCAAATGTTTGGAGGATTTTGGAGGACGGTTTATCTGATACCTAATAGTAAAGGTTAGTAGCAAAAAAAAATCCAAAACTGCCTGTCACTGATGCATAAAAACTGAAGATTACACTTACGTTTAATTGTTTTGAATAGTCAGAGCGAAAAAAGCAAAGTTAATTCAAAAAATATATTTTAAAATCATCCTCAATAAAATTAATTTAAAACAATAGTAGCGTAAGAAAGTTGATAATTAAAAAATGCAAAAAAGCGTTTTGAAACACATGTCAAATTCACGTGTATATAACCGCATAAAACAACGTTTAAATTAATATTTAATGTTTTTTTAACTATATATTTCCTCTAATAAACATATTTTCACCATTATGACATATTTTCAGAATACAATGCCGAAAGTGATTTTTTTGTATTTTGGCACACTCTGTCCCACTGTGCGGAGGTCCGAATTATATTATAAAACGCAAAGTTTATAAATTTATTATTTTTATTTTGCGATTTCGAATTGATTTTTTTTATTATTATTATGCGTTGTTAGTTTTTTGTATCATAAAAAAACAAACAATGAAAGAAGGTTTGCAAAAATTTATATTTATCTTTCGTTAGTTTTTTACAATATAAATAATGGTATGAAAAAAGTGAAAAGTAGTGCGACTAAGAGAATAGAAAAAGCTGCAGCCAGGGAGGAAATCATAAAACACCCCAATGTTAACACATTTTTTGAAACCAGCAGTTTAGCCTGGAATTATTTCGACACCAACAAAAACTACAAATAATTATGATTATCATTATTTGAATACTAGAGTCAGATAGGTTGATATGTGAGTCTCCATCAAATGATATAACAATTCTGTTTATTTTTCTCAGTGATGATCCTTCTGAGTTTCCTGGTGATGTTTCTGATGCACAGAGGTGTGACATTGTTAAACGTGGTTTTAAAAAGATTGAAATTGATTTTCCAGACAATTTAGAAAGAAGACAATTTTCACTGAATTATTATAACAGCAAGGTGAAATCTTTGAACGGACATAGCTC